AGTCAGGGTGCGGAGCCAGAGCGAATCGCTCTCCTCCAGCTCTTCCGCGGGACCCTCGTGCTTCCCGGATCAGCACACCCACTCCGCGCTGCCCCACCGCTGGTACGTCAGCGATTGTAGCGATGACTCCATTAGCGAGGGCTCTGCCTGCCTGGTTAGCGCGGGCCAGCCCCTCGCGGTGGCTCATACGCACAATCAGACTCGGTTACGCGATTCAGTTCGCGAAACGGCCCCCCAAGTTTACGGGCGTGTATTCCTCCAGGGTCAACCCCCTGTCCGCCCCTGTCTTGCGAGAGGAGATTGCTGCCCTCCTGGCGAAGGGTGCAATCGAGCCGGTTCCTCCAGCCGAGATGGAGAGTGGGTTTTACAGCCCATACTTCATCGTACCCAAAAAGAGCGGTGGGTCACGGCCAATCCTAGATCTGCGCGTTTTGAACCGCTGTCTGCACAGGCTGCCGTTCAGAATGCTCACGCAGAGGCGCATTCTCCAATGCGTTCGTCCTCGGGATTGGTTTGCAGCCATAGACCTGAAGGACGCGTATTTCCATGTCTCCATTCTTCCACGCCACCGCCAATTTCTGCGGTTTGCGTTCGAGGGTCGAGCGTGGCAGTACAAGGTCCTCCCCTTCGGGCTCTCTCTGTCTCCGCGGGTCTTCACCAAACTCGCGGAGGGTGCCCTAGCGCCCCTTCGGCTCGCGGGCATTCGCATACTCAATTATCTCGACGACTGGCTGATTTTAGCCCACTCTCGGGAGCAATTGATTATGCACAGGGACAAGGTGCTTCGGCATCTCCGCCTACTGGGGCTTCAGGTCAACCGAGAAAAGAGCAAACTCGCCCCCGTGCAGAGGATTTCTTTTCTCGGGATGGAGCTGGACTCGATCACCATGGTAGCGCACCTCTCCGAGGAACGCGCTCGCCTGTTGCTGAACTGTCTGAGGGAGCTCGACAGCAAACTAGTGGTCCCACTGAAGTTCTTTCAGAGGCTCCTGGGGCATATGGCATCCGCAGCCGCCGTCACGCCGCTCGGGTTGCTCCATATGAGACCACTTCAGCACTGGCTTCACGATCGGGTCCCCAGACGCGCATGGCACGCGGGCACACACCGGGTCTCGGTTACTGCGCTGTGTCGCCGCGCCCTCAGCCCTTGGAACGACCCCTCGTTCCTACAGGCCGGTGTGCCTCTAGGACAGGCGTCCAGCCATGTTGTTGTTTCAACAGACGCTTCCAACACGGGTTGGGGGGCCGTGTGTCGCGGGCATGCGGCTGCGGGCCTCTGGAAGGGTGCCCAGCTGCATTGGCATATCAATCGCCTAGAGCTGTTGGCAGTGTTCCTCGCTCTCCACCGCTTTTTACCGGTGCTGGAGCGGCAACACGTGCTGGTCAGGACGGACAGTATGGCGGCGGCGGCGTATATCAACCGCATGGGGGGTATGCGCTCTCGCCGCATGTCTCAGCTCGCCCGCCGTCTGCTCCTCTGGAGTCACCCGCGGCTGAAATCGCTGCGCGCCATTCACGTCCCAGGCACGCTCAATCGTGCAGCCGATGCGCTCTCACGACAGCTGTTACGCCCTGGAGAATGGAGACTCCACCCCGAGTCTGTTCAGCTGATATGGGCGCGATTCGGGGAGGCCCAGATCGATCTGTTTGCTTCCCCCGAGAACGCTCACTGCCAGTTGTTTTTTTCCCTGACCGAGGGCTCTCTCGGCACGGATGCACTGGCCCACAGCTGGCCTCGGGGCATGCGCAAGTATGCGTTTCCCCCAGTGAGCCTGCTCGCGCAGTTTCTGTGCAAGGTCAGGGAGGACGAGGAACAGGTTCTGCTAGTTGCGCCCCTTTGGCCCAACCGGACCTGGATATCAGAGCTCTCACTCCTCGCGACGGCCCTCCCCTGGCGGATCCCTTTGAGAGAGGACCTACTCTCTCAGGGACAGGGCACCATCTGGCACCCTCGCCCCGATCTTTGGAACCTCCACGTGTGGTCCCTAGACGCGAGGAAGACTTAGGTAACCTACCGACTGCGGTGGTTAATACCATCACTCAGGCTAGAGCCCCCTCCACGAGGCGCGCCTACGCCCTGAAGTGGAGTCTATTCACTGAATGGTGCGTCTCTCGCAGAGAAGACCCCCGAAATTGCCAGATTAGTGTTGTGCTCTCTTTCCTTCAAGAGAAGTTGGACAGCAGGCTGTCGCCCTCCACTCTCAAGGTTTACGTGGCCGCCATCTCCGCTTATCATAGCGCGGTAGCTGGCGGCACCGTGGGAAAGCATAACCTGGTCATCCAGTTCCTTAGGGGTGCTAGGCGAATTAATCCATCTCGCCCCCCTCTCATGCCCTCTTGGGATCTCGCCCTCGTTCTCACGAGTCTGCGATCCGATCCCTTTGAGCCACTCGAATCAGTATCTCTAAGATTTCTGTCCCTGAAGACAGCTCTGCTGGTTGCGTTGGCCTCCATCAAGAGGGTCGGGGACCTGGAGGCATTTTCGGTCAGTGACTCGTGCCTGGAATTCGGGCCGGATTACTCTCACGTCATCCTGAGACCCCGCCCCGGTTATGTGCCCAAGGTTCCTACCACCCCCTTTAGAGATCAGGTAGTGAACCTGCAAGCGCTGCCCCCGGAGGAGGCAGACCCAGCCCTTTCTTTACTTTGTCCAGTTCGCGCTCTGCGCATTTATGTGGACCGTACTCAGAATTTTAGATCATCTGAGCAGCTCTTTGTCTGTTATGGCGGTCGGCAGCAGGGAAGTGCCGTATCAAAACAAAGATTATCCCACTGGATTGTGGATGCAATTTCACTCGCTTATTCGAGTCGAGGTCAGCCGTGTCCCCCGGGAGTTCGTGCACACTCCACTCGGAGCGTTGCATCCTCTTGGGCGCGTGCACGCGGCGCCTCTCTAACAGACATCTGTAGAGCTGCGGGCTGGGCGACACCCAACACATTTGCAAGGTTTTACAATCTGCGAGTGGAGCCGGTTTCCTCAAGGGTATTAGGTAACCCTTTGGTGATTGAGGAGACAACTCGGTAGGGTGTTGAAACACGCTTGCTGCGCCATTCTCCCTAACACGGAGGTACGTGCGCCTTTTTTATCTGTCAGTAAAGTTCCCCGTCAGGTGAGCCCTGCAGATTCCTCCGTGGCCCCCAGCACTGACTCAGCGGAGGAGTCACTTGCTGGCCCACTACGTTGTAGGTCTGCCCGCTGGTCAGCCCGCGTTTTGGGTATAGGTGCCTGCTATGCGTGATCCCCACTAGGCGATCCCATATGCTTATTCCGCCACGGTTAAGTCCCCCCCCTGGGCGGACCCGTGTCTTCCCTCTCCGCTAACCACTCTTTTGCTATGCGTACTCCCCCTTTTTAGGGCTAGTCCATATGTAAATTCTGCCATCTATCCCCCCCTTGGGTAACGGATGGCCTCCGCAGCGTCCTCCCTATCGGGATTGCACGCTTCCCAACGTACTGTCGTATTTCCTAGAATTATCTAGATGCTCACGACTTCCCAAAAAATATATCTAAATCCGTAAAACTTCTGTTGAAGTAGGATAAATTAGGGCCAGGGACACGTTGGAGGACCGCGCCCCCCATGATGTGGGTGCGTCACGCTTGCTTGACTATCTCCTCATCGGGGGTGTTGGTAAGGTGCAGTCATTATGGCGCTTTCAATGGGCTCCCAATGCGTGGATTTTACAAATCAAATCCACTTATAGTGCTGAAGTTCCCCCCGAAGGGGAACGTTCGAGGTTACTAAAGTAACCCTTCGTTCCCCGAGGAGGGGAACGGAAGCACTATACTCCGTCGCCATAATGACTGTCCCTTAGCTGTTTGAAAGTCTCTTCAGCTTAAAAGGATGGCGTCTGCTGGCTTCAGGTGTGCTTATATGCTGAGATAATTGCAGATGTCGCACACCTGCGCAAGCTTACGCTGCCAATTAATTTCATTCATTGGCCCGTTCAATACTCTCCAGACAAGCGGCTTCTGATCCGAATCCTCCCAATGCGTGGATTTTACAAATCCTCGGGGAACGAAGGGTTACTTTAGTAACCTCGAACGTTTCTTCGCACGGTGGCTCAGTGGTTAGCACTGTCACCTCAATACAAGAAGGTTGCTGATTTGAGTCCCGTCTGGAAAAGTTGGCGTTTCTGTGTGGAGTTTGCATGTTCTCCTCATGTTTGTGTGGGTTTCCTTCAAGTGCTCTGGTTTCCCCCACAGTCCAAAGACATAAATTGTAAACTACATTGGCTGTAGTGAGTGTGTGTGTGAAAATACTGTTTAAATGTTGCATTTATATTTTATTGTAATTTAGTTTCTTGTAAAACTCAACTTTAAACAAAATAAATGAAACATTTCTGTCGTTTGGTTTAAATAATAGCATAATGCTACACTGTGCTTGTTGCCATTTACCTTTAACACTTCATAACAGTGCTCGCAGTGAATGTAATCATTATTTATAGAGACGTGCTTTTGAATATGCCAAGCCTTATTTTTTATAATTTGATGGTGTGTTGGGCATGTGTCACCCACTGCTTTTATCACTCTTTCTCTTTTCCTTATGAAACTGATAAACCAATCATCTCTTAATATGTAAACACATCAAGCCACATATCTTGAATTCTCTTGAGCATAATGACTAATTCACTGCTATTTCTCTCCACACCTACTGGGAAAGTGCACTTGTCTTGGCATTTTAGCCTTGTAACCGCGAAGCCCTCAGACCTGAATAATGACCAGCGGGAGCACAGCCTCCATCCTCCAAACGCTTTGACTCTTTAATATAGCAGTGTTAATAGAGCCTGCAGTCAGAAAAGGTCTTCCATCATGTGCATCTCAGCTCAGTAAACATTTGGCTTCTCTCATTTCTTCCTGCATCTTGTGGCAAGGGTGCTTTTAGTCTCCTAAAATAAATAGATTTGAAATTGAAGTGCTGCTTCACTGCTTTGTGTTGGGTTATTTCATGTGATCATAATGTTTCTTTCTCTTCCTCTCTCTCTGTGTTTTTCTTCTGCAGAAAAATGTGATGAAGCTCTGGTCACACAACTACTCCACAATGCCTTCACAAGCTCTTCTGTGTTCGCTAGTAGCTATGTTCCAGGATACGCCAAACTTAACAAAAGAGGAGGTACTGTAAATGCTTTTTATAATACAGGGGTGCCCAAACTTTAGCTTATGAAGAGCCAAAAATCAAACTTGATTGAGGGTGGTGGGCTAAAGTTAAATATACCATTAAAGCTGCAATGGTAATTTCCTAATGTATTAATATTTTAAAATAAATAGAAACATTAATTCCTTTATGTCGCATTAATAATAATAATTTTTTAAAACATTTTATAATGAACTTCTTACAATAAAAACATTAACACATTTATAACACAATGGTGTTCAGGGATGAGTACACAAGTCAAACATATCATTTCAGTTGGCTTTTTTTATCTTAACAATTACAGTTTTTCATGATTGCTAACATACTAAAAGTTAACGTTTCCCACAGTTAGCAAAACCGTACACTCAAGGAGCAAAACACAAGGCTAAATCTGCACATCTGTAGGCACATTGTCAGCTTCACACTTTTTGCAAAACATTACACACATTGATAAGCAAATCACTAAACACACTTGGATGCTTTTGACACAGAACTTTTTCATAATGGAATTTCCTTGCAATTTCAAAGCAAAGGCCTTCAAATGAACACACACATGAACCATACGTTAAACACAGCCATCAGGTGTGCACACACACTGCTGCAAAACTGTAGACACACCAATCAGCTTTAACCACAATAAAAAAGCAATAGGTATAAACTATTAGTCTTCAATAAACATGCTTACAGTAGTATACCTACAAATAGTGGTGTTCAATAAATATGTTTTACAGGAGCTATAAATATTAATTTTCAATAAATAAGCCAATGTTGCAGTATGGAAGAGGAAGCACGAAAGTAAGGAAGATTGGTAAACAAGAGACAGGTGATGGAATGTGTTTTTTACATTGAAATGTATACATCACCAGAAAGCTGAATAAATACACTTTACATTTGTTGCATGGTTTGTTAGGATAGGGCAATATTTAGCTATCAGTCTATCTCTGTTTGGTGAATACAGTATGTTCATGTACTTTATAGCAATACCTCTCAAATCCTGTTTACATCAGTATTATTCAATTAAAAATGATACAAGTGTTTAAGACTGATTACAGCAGTGTGTAAATGAAGCAAACAGATTTATATTGAATGAAGCGTGTATGTTCTCTACGACAGTGTTTCTCAACTGGTGGGTCGCGACCCAAAAGTGGGTCGCGGGAACATTTTCAGTGGGTCGCGGAGTGTGTGATCAAAAAAACAACAAAAGTTTAATATTTAACTTATTTTGCTTATATAGGACTTTTATTTTGAAATGCGCATGCGACAACCATACCATTAGGGTATATGCTGAAGTATGCTAATGGGACATTTAATTTGCTTTCGGCGAACTGTATGCAATGCAAAAACCGGCGTGTATAAGGTCTGTTTTCTTTAAAAATCAGCGATCTCCACTGGCTGAGTGAAATCCGATATAAAGTGGTCTCAGATTGTACAAGAAGCACTGCATTAAATTACATTTTCCCCCGCCATGTCTTTATAAAATGAGCATTTATTTTACACCAGTATATTCAATGGAGCTTTTGTGCTAGCCTGCTGATTCTGACGGGCGCGTGCGAGTAAACCGCTTTTTGTCTCGTTTTACGCTTGAGCAACTAAATGAATGCCAAAGTTTATTTAACTGAATGTATTTTAATAACATTACAACATTGATGCTGTAAAAGGAACCGTATAAAATGGAAAAAAAAGTTCACAACAGGTCACCGGAAGTTTATCAGTATGGGAAAAAAAACACTAGCTCGGCATTTACCCAATTGACGTGAAATTCCAGCGCAAGTACGACCCTGAATATGTAAAGTGTGGATTTACATATTTTGACGACAAAAAAGGCTTAAAACCTCAGTGTTTCATATGTAGTGAGGTGCTTTCACAAGAGAGCATGAAACCTAAATTAAAACAACATTTAGAAACCAAACATCCGAGTTGTGAAGTTTTGGATGAAGTGTTTCATTTTGCGAAAGTTCTTATGTGTTCTGCTGTTTGTGTGTGTGGATATGTAAATTGTGTGTAGTGTTTGACAAAATGAGACAATGTATCAATGAATTTCAAAATTGTGCTTGGCTTTAATATGACATATTTGACTGTAGGCCTACATACAAAACTTTTCACAGAGCTCAGTTAAATGTTCTTTGATTAGTTATTAATAAACTGCTAAATCCAAAATTAATAATAAAATTCAGCTTGTAATTTAATATAGTTTAAATAAATGCATTCAATACAATTTAATAGCCTATACAGGCTCAATAAATATAACATATTTTTAATTAAATAAATAGCCTTTTTTTTTTTTTTAAATGGCCGAGTCCATGTTTATTCCATGGAATTAAACAGAAATGAGATAAATAAGTATATTTCGTGTATTTGAAGAAGCAGTCTATTAAATTAAAAAAATATATATATATTTTTTTTATAAAAAATAAAACCTTTAAAACCTTAAAAACTTAAGTAGGCTAATAATAGTGTATATAAATAAAAGATAAATATCTTTTTTGTGAAAGCAAGAGAGAATATTGTGGGAGTGCTGTTTTAAAGTTCGCTGTCTCAAATGACTAACAGTTGTGCATTACCACTACACATTTTATTCGTCGTTGACAAAAGATTGACAAAATTACTAATGAGCATGCACTGCTCAAGTCAGATTCTGATTGGTCTGCAAAGTCGAATACACCTCAAATAAGCATGATACAAGACTCAAAGAAACAGAATGACAAGATTATAAAAGGGGAAATAAGAAACACAAGACTAAACAGACGTGACACCTGTTTTTTCTCGTTCACATTTTCTATTTCAATAGCTCAAAAAACACTTCTGGGCTGTTGTGTGTTTGTTTTTTTATTTTATTTTATTGCAAACAATATATTACTTCAATATAAACCTCAATTTCACAGGTGCTCAGATGTAATATAGTTTTGTGTCAGTCCAATAAACATCCATGCAGTATACGACACCACAGAGTCATTACTTCAATAACTCCAGCCGGGAGTTATTGCGTGAATTACTGAATTACAGTGGCTCATCCCATTATGCCTAACTGCGCTTTCGGAAAACACTATGTGCTTAAGACTAATTGAGCGAAAACCTACAACAGATGTGACAACGTTATGATTTATATCAGTGATGTGTGCGCCATTCACATATTTATTATTTCACACATTTTTTGGTGTTGTTGTTTTGTTTCTCATCATTCAATGAAAATGTTGTTTAATTAAAATGGAAGTTTTTGTGTCCTTGTAGGACATCTCTAAAGTTTAGACTGGCATCTGTTACAAAACAAGGGCTATATTGTTGTTGTTGTGAGGGAGAAAATTGAAAGAATTGAACCTTCTGCTAATTGTGCGTCAGAAGCTTTAGTTTTGCTTGTGTTTTTGTGGCGTTAGGCTCCCAGGGGAGAGTAAATTCAGATCCAAATGGATGTTTTATATATGAGGCTCTCTGTGGGAGTCTGTAGAGGCAGTGGGACTGATTTTAAAGGCTTTAAATTGCATGTTATTTCCAAGCTCAATGAGTCACTGGGCTCTATTATGTATACAAAATACTGTAATATTAATTGGCACTGTAACTATGCCTGATATTACACATTTTTTATAAAAGCACTTAGGCACAGTGTGACATCCATACAAATTATTCTACCTTATTCTACCTTGAGGAGACACACAGTACTGCCTGTGCTTTAATAAATCGCTGTTCTTTGTAGGAGAGGTATTACAATGTTGAGGTGTTTTATGAGGACATGCTCTGTGTCCTCGTTAATTAAAACTGTGAAATCATATTTATGCAGGTTTTTTCACCTTCAGAATTTGCCATATTGGGTTTAGGGGTGGGTAATATAGAGTAAGTATATAATTAGTAGAGTATACAGTATGTTTACAATATAAAATACATTATGCATATATTGTATTCCATCAAACAGTGCTTGCATATTTCTGGCACTTTACCTTATGGAATATCAGATCACTGAAATATGAGCACTCTTTTAAACAGTAGCTCCGGTAGACATGTTATTCTATCCATGAAATGCACTCTATAATTACTGCCATATATTGATCTGGCAATCAGATTATGTTTGTTTTGTTTTAATTGTGACATATATTGGTTTTAGAATTATTTTACTCTTGTTATTGTTAACTACAAGTATTAAATTGAATTTATTTAATATATTTTTAATATAAATTTGCATTTTACATTAAATAAAGCTGAAATTAAATGTTTTATATGATAAATAAATACTAATGTTTTTTTTTTTATTATATTAATTAAACAAAGAATCATCATACACATTGGTTGATATTTAATATTTAACAATTACATTTACACTCCCCAGTCACTTTATTGAGTACACCTGTCTAAATGCTTGTTAACGCAAATTTCTAATCACCCAATCACATGACAGCAGCTCAGTGTATTTCAGCATATAAATATGGTCAAGACGATCTGCTGCAGTTCAAACTAAACATCAGAATGGGGAAGAAAGGTGGTTTAAGTAACTTTGAATGTGGCTTGGTTGTTGGTGCCAGACAGGTTTTCTGTATATTTCAGAAACTGCTGAAACCATCTCAGGGTTTACAGAAAATGGTCAGAAAAAGAGAAAATATCCAGTGATGTGTATTTATGTGGCTGCAAATGCCTTGGTTATGCCAGAGAAGTATGGCTAGACTGGTTTGAGCTGATAGAAAGGCAACAGTAACTCAAATAACCATTTGTTACAACCAAGGAATGCAGAAGAGCATCTCTGAACACACAACATGACTAAACTTGTGGCAGATGGGCTACAGCAGCAGACGACCACACCGGGTGCCACTCATGTCAGCTAAGAACAGGAAACTGAGACTACAATCCGCACAGGCTCACCAAAATATGACAATAGAAGATTGGAAAAATGTTGACTTGTCTGATGAGTCTCAACTTCTGCTGTGATATTCGGATGGTAGGGTCAGAATTTGGTGCCAACATGAAAGCATGGATCCATCCTGCCTTCAATGGTTTAG